AGGAGAAGGGAGAACGAGGACGAGGAGGAGGGGTACAGTAGTAGGAGAAGACGGAGGAAAAAAGGAGGAGGAGGCGAAGGAGGAGGAGGAGGACGAGGAGGTGGCGGAGGAGGAGGAGGAGGAGGCGGAGGAGGAGGAGGAGGAGGAGGAGGAGGAGGCGGAGGAGGAGGAGGAGGAGGAGGACGAGGAGGAGGAGGAAGGGGAGGGGGAGGAGGGGGAGGAGGAGGAGGAGGAGGAGCGGGAGGAGCAGGAGGAGGAGGAGGGCGCGGGGGCCCACATCACAACACATAAACAACAGCATTACAATAAACATGTACTTTTGGAGGTTTCGCACGGAATTTGTGGATCGGCGTTGAGCTGCCTTGGAGGCGCCTCCAGCGCCGCCTCTGGCGCGCTCCTCGCGCCAAGGAAGGATGCCCACCGCCGACCCCAGAAATCCAAGGCGGACCTCCGAAAGTTCTGTGCAGGCCGCCTTCCTCAATGCAAAGGTCTCCTTGTTGGCCCTCGGGGGCCCGCTCGTCGCCGCAGCTGGGTGCGGCTCGGAAGAATGGCGCGCGCAGACCCCGGGAAAGGTTCAGAAGGCATGTTTGTTCGGCCAGCTGGGAGCCTCTTTGTCGCCAAGGCTGGGCTTCGCACGGAATGCTGGCGCGCGTGGGCCCAACTGCTCAGTTGGCATTCGGGGCCCCCCACCACGGCTTGACGCAAGTTGGAAAGCACATTGCGTTTGGGCCCTGGGAGGGGTCCGGGGACGGATCTTGAGCAGATGGCGACCGCCATTGTCTCAGCGTCGCTGTTGTTTTGCGCGGCCCTTTGTCCGAAAGGTGATGGGCGACGTGTGCAAGGAGGCAAATTTCGCCGCGAGTGTCTGCTCGCTCACGCGGTCGACTGGGCTGTCGCTCGCCGAAACCATCGTGCTCGCCGCGCGGGAGGGGGAGGACGCCAGCGGGCTGGTAGGCCACGCGACCACGTTCTTCTCCTACTCTTGGACGGGGACCAAGCTGGGGGACATGCTGACGGCGATCCAGAACAAGGTCTCTGAATTGGAGGCTGCCGATGGACGGCGCCGTTTCGTTTGGGTGGATATGTTCGCCGCCTCTCAGACGCTCCTCGCCGGTGAGTTCCGCGACGAGGCAAGCCACCCCAAGGGCAGTCCTGGCTACAAGGAGCGGAAAGAGGACACCGACACGATCTTCGACCACGCCCTCGATGCGATTGAGGAGTTGCTCCTGTACGCGTCGCCGCTCAATGAACAGTGGCGCGCTCCGCAGCACCCATACCTGTTGCCAGACATAGGTGACCCACCGCCAGACTGGATGCGCCGCGGCCCGGGCGCCATGACACGCGCGTGGTGCATGTTCGAGATGGTGAAGGCGCTGGCCAAGCCAGCGCGGCTTCACGTCGTTCTGTCCCCCGCCGATGTCAGCAACTTCGAGGAGCTATTGACGAAGCACTTCGATGACATCGCCGGCATCATCGCCGACCTGGACGCGCGCAAAGCTCAGGTCAGCAAGCCCGATGACCGTGACTACATCCTCGGACAGGTGCGGATGTTGGACGGTGGCCTCGGCACGGTCACTTCGACCGTCTGCTCCTCGCTGCGCGGTTGGTTGGCGGAGCAGGGGCGGAAGGTGTTGCAGAGCCATCTTGAAGACAACGGAGAGCAGAACATCATCCTATTGAAACACAACCTGGCCCGGCTGCTGCAGGCCCAGGGGGACCTCGCCGGCGCCGAGCCGCTCTTCCGCGAGGCGTTGCAGGCTAGCCGCGAGGTCCTCGGCGCCCGGCACCCCAACACGCTCGTCTCGGTGAACTACATGGCCCGACTGCTGAAGGCCCAGGGGGACCTCGCCGGCGCCGAGCCGCTCTACCGCGAGGCGTTGCAGGCGCGCCGCGAGGTCCTCGGCGCCCGGCACCCCGACACGCTCGTCTCGGTGCACAACCTGGCCATGCTGCTGCAGGCCCAGGGGGACCTCGCCGGCGCCGAGCCGCTCTACCGCGAGGCGTTGCAGGCTAGCCGCGAGGTCCTCGGCGCCCGGCACCCCAACACGCTCGTCTCGGTGAACAACATGGCCCGACTGCTGAAGGCCCAGGGGGACCTCGCCGGCGCCGAGCCGCTCTTCCGCGAGGCGTTGCAGGCTAGCCGCGAGGTCCTCGGCGCCCGGCACCCCGACACGCTCGTCTCGGTGAACAACCTGGCCGCGCTGCTGCAGGACCAGGGGGACCTCGCCGGCGCCGAGCCGCTCTACCGCGAGGCGTTGCAGGCTAGCCGCGAGGTCCTCGGCGCCCGGCACCCCAACACGCTCGTCTCGGTGAACAACATGGCCCGACTGCTGCAGGACCAGGGGGACCTCGCCGGCGCCGAGCCGCTCTTCCGCGAGGCGTTGCAGGCTGGCCGCGAGGTCCTCGGCGCCCGGCACCCCGACACGCTCGTCTCGGTGAACAACCTGGCCATGCTGCTGCAGGACCAGGGGGACCTCGCCGGCGCCGAGCCGCTCTTCCGCGAGGCGTTGCAGGCTAGCCGCGAGGTCCTCGGCGCCCGGCACCCCAACACGCTCGTCTCGGTGAACAACCTGGCCGCGCTGCTGCAGGACCAGGGGGACCTCGCCGGCGCCGAGCCGCTCTACCGCGAGGCGTTGCAGGCGCGCCGCGAGGTCCTCGGCGCCCGGCACCCCAACACGCTCGTCTCGGTGAACAACCTGGCCGCGCTGCTGCAGGACCAGGGGGACCTCGCCGGCGCCGAGCCGCTCTACCGCGAGGCGTTGCAGGCGCGCCGCGAGGTCCTCGGCGCCCGGCACCCCAACACGCTCGTCTCGGTGAACAACCTGGCCGCGCTGCTGCAGGACCAGGGGGACCTCGCCGGCGCCGAGCCGCTCTACCGCGAGGCGTTGCAGGCGCGCCGCGAGGTCCTCGGCGCCCGGCACCCCAACACGCTCGCCTCGGAGAACAACCTGGCCGTGCTGCTGCAGGCCAAGGAAGGCAACTGAGGTCCTGCCGCGCCGCTGGGGGCCGAGGGCGGCCCCGAGCCAGGCTGGCTGCCGCTACGCGCCCCTTCTCTAGCTCCTCCGCCTCCTCCTCCTCCTCCTCCTCCTCCTCCTCCTCTTCCTCCTCCCCCCCTTCCCCAGGAAGGGTCCGGTTCGGGCCGGTTCGGCGGCGGGCTGGTTCGGTTGCACCAGTTCGGTTTTCGGCGCTGGTCTGGTTTGAGCCGGTCCGGTTTGGCGAGTCCGGTCGGTTCTGCCGGTTCGGGTCGGGCGGCGGTCCGGTTTTGGGCGGTTCGGTTCGGAGGTCGTCGACCCCCGGGGGGGTCGTCGACCCTCGGGGGGGTCGTCGACCGGCGGGGGGGGCCACCCCCCCCGTGGCCGGGGCCACCCCCCACGTGGCCGGGGCCACCCCCCCCGTGGCCGAGGCCACCCACCCCGTGGGAGCCTCCGAGGGAGCCTCCGAGGGAGCCTCCGAGGGAGCCCCGAGGGGCCCGAAAGGGAGAGGCGGCTTACCCTCGCTTAGCGGGGTTGCGGGGTTATGATTGGGGGGGTCAACATATGTTGACCCCCCCCGCACCCGCTAACAGTGAGGGGGACGAGGAGGAGGACCTGGGGGGGGGGCCAGGACAAGGAGGGGGGGGATCAGGAGGAGGAGAAAGAAGATGGACGATGATGATGATGCTGCTGATGATGATGATGATGATGATGATGATGATGGTGATGATGACGATGGCGATGACGATGATGACGATGACGATGCTGCTGATGATGATGACGACGATGATGATGATGACGATGATGATGATGATGATGATGATGATGATGATGATGACAATGATGATATATGTATATATATATATTGGTGATGATGATGATGATGATGATGACGACTACCAGGATGATTGCTATATCTATGATTGTACGAACTACGACGGATTCCCATTACAAGCTTCGCCCCATAGGGTCCCGCCCTATATGGGCCCGCCCAATAGATTCCCAGAGGTCCCCGCCCCATAGGGTCCCGCCTGATAGGGTTCCGCCCCATAGGGTCCCACATCGTAGGGTCCCGCCTTATGCAGTGCCCTGCGGGAACCCAGAGATCCTTATTCCGAAGGGGCAGACTGAGCGGGCGGAGCCTCGGATATTTTGGGAAACCAACGGGAATCGGCAGCTCCCCGTCATTGTAATCACCATCATCGTCGTGATCGTTGTCGTTATCATCTGCATCGCAGTCGATGTTAATCATCGCACCGCCATCGTCACCATCGTTATCGTCATCACCATTGTCATTACCATCACAACATCATCATCATCATCATCATCATCATCATCATGATCGTCATCGAAGTCATCATGATCATCATGATCCGCACCATGATCAGCATCATGATCCTCGTCGTCATCATCATCAGCATCATCATCGTCATAAGCATCATCATCATGACCATAATCATCATCGTCATCGTCATCGCCATCGTCATAATCGTCATCATCGTCATGTTTATCGTCAGCATCTTCAGCATACCCATTTTCATCGTACTCGTCATCTTCGTCGTACGCGGCGTCACCGTGATGGGCCCCAGCGGGCCCTAGGGGGCACGTTCGGAGAGTTGCCGATTCCCGTCGGTTTCTGAAGGCTCTGTTTGCTGCGCCCGCCTCCGAGCTCCGACGAAAGGAGTTCCCGCAGCGCGGGGCGTCATCACTGTCACAGACGAGATGCGCCCTGAGAGCCTAAGAAAGCCTAGGTGCGGGAGAGGCTCGGCACTGCTCAATCAGAAGCAATGTCAGACGGGGGGGCATCCTGCGCATCGTCGCCGTCGCGAACCGCCTGGATATCGAGAGCCCCCTGGATGGCATCGTTGTTGTCGGTTCTGAGCGTTTTCTCGATGGCCTTCCCAATCTGTGTCAAACCAGTCCGCAACTTCTTCACCCTCTTGCGCAAACTGGCGTTGTGGACCGCGAGCACCTTATTTTTCTGGATCTGCTCCAGGAAGCGTGCCTTCAGCGAATCATACGAGAACGTGCGAATGGCATGGCGCGCAGCTGCTGGCCTCCGTTTGGGGGCCATGGACCCGAGCAACTTAGTGTCGGAGGCCTTCGGGCACTGATTGCAACAACACCTCGCGCCAAAACGGCGAGGACGGAGGAGGACGGAGGAGGACGGAGGAGGAGGAGGAGGAGGAGGAGGAGGAGGAGGAGGAGGAGGAGGAGGACGGGGTCGTTTTAGTTTGCCCCCCATCAGTTTTCTCGTCCTCCTCCTCCTCATCCTCCTCCTCCTCACCCTTCGGGGGGATGACGAGAGGACGGTTTTTGCCGACTTCAGCGGGGGCGGCCAGCTCTCACGGTGCATCCAGCCACGGCTCCGACAGCAGTGAAGGAGGAGGAGAAGGAGGAGTAGGAGGAGGGACGAGGATCCAAAGTCGAGGACCGAGGATCGAGGGATCAGAGGAGGACAGCTCTCCGCGAGCCGAGCACCGTATTCGACTTAGTCGTCGTCGTCGCGGTGCCCACCACGACATTCGAACGCATGTCCGAGCGATGCGTTCCAGGGACAGCTCCACTCAGGCGGAGGGTGGAGTTCAGTTTTGTTTAGTTTATTCACCAATCGAAGGAGGATAAGGAGGGCGAGCAAGCTGTGTAAAACGCCCCTGTGCTGGACCCCCTCCGTGGCAGTTTTTCGCCACGGCCCTGGAAGCAAAAATGTGGGCACCATGCACCGAGCCGATCCAAGGCTCATCGCGTCCCTCCTCTTCCTCAGTTTCCTGCTGCTGCTCCTCCTCCTCCTGTTCATCCTCCTCATCATCATAATCCTCCTCCGCCTCCTCTTTCTTCCCCTCATCCTCCTCAGCATAATCAGCATCATCAGCATCATCAGCATCATCATCAGTATCATCATCATCATCATCATCTTCATCATCACCATCATCATCATCATCATCATCATCATCTTCAGCTAGCGCTGCTGGGGCCCTGGAGGCCAAACTAAGAGACACATGTGCACCACTGCAAGCAGACGCAACCATCCACATTCAAGATCAGTCCTTGCCACCCTCACCGTCGTCGCCCGAGAGGTCCCAGTTGCTGCCATCCTCCTCCTCCTCGCCATCAGGCTCGGGCTCCTCGCCGTCTTTGTCGACAGCCTTGCCCTTCCCCTTGAGCTTCTTCTTGGGCGGCTGCTTGTCGCCGCTCTGCTCGACCTCAGCACCCTTGTCCGTGCCCTTAAGCTTGCGCTTGGTCTTCTTGGGCTCAGGGGTGACCTCTTTCTTCGTCTCGCCCATGGCCTCCGCATACTTCGCATTGTAGAGCCAGCTCTCAGGGTCGCGCATCATGGCGAGCGCGACGAGCTTCAACCGTTCCTCGATGCCAGAGGCGTGCTTCTGGGACATGGCGATGCCGAAGTAGCCTGTCCGCCTCTTCAGCGCCGCCTCCGCGAAGTTCCCAGGCCCTGGCGTCAGGTCGACGACCGTGCGCCCGAAGAACCTGTGCAGCACCTCCAGGTAGAACAGGACGGGGAACGTCCACCAAAACACGGGCTCGATGTCTGTGTCGCTGCGCTTCTCGGGGGCATCGAGGCCAGCTGTTTTGCCTCCCACTGGAATCCGATTCTTCTTCGTGTAGATCTCACGCTTGTTCTTGACGCTTGTGCGCCATTCTTCTTCTGGCGTTGGTAGTGTCACTGGGCCGATGACCGTGCCCTTGTTGGAGCCGTCGTAGTGTTTCCCAGCACGCCCGGGGAGCGCGAGGTTGCCCACTGTCAGCACGTGCATGTTCTCCACCTGCTGGAGGCTCGCTGGCCCCCTCGAGAGTTTGCGCTTTGCCTTCAACGACTCCTCGCTCGCAATGACGTGAACGATGTGGTGCTTCAGCTTCATCCTGTTCGGCTCCTTCTCTTCATCCTCGTCGAGGTCGTCATCGGCCTCGTCGTCCTCGGGGGGCTTCTCGTCTGACGCCACCGCAGCCACGGGAGGCACCCGCGGCTTCTTCAACGGCTTCGCGTTGCCCAGGCGGCCGCCGTCCACGATGAGCACCACGCCCCCACCGCTGAGCGTAGGCTGATCTCCGACGCCACGAAAGCGCCCCTCCAGCACCGCGGATACCTGAGTGTTGTGACTCTTCTCCTGGAGCGGGGCCTTCCTGATCCTCGGGGCCGTCACCGCTTCGCCAGCCAGCTTCGTGTCGAAGTGTAGGAGGGCCAACCCCGTCATGTCCCCCGCTGTGGTCGCCAGGTCGGAGCTCTTGATCTCCGAGACAAGCGTTTTTGGATCATCTGGCATAACCGCGATTCTCACGTACTGCCTGGGTTCATTATCTTCCTCATCCTGCCTCCTCCTCCCCCTCCTCCCTCCGCCTCCTCGTCCGTAGGTTCTCCCTCTTCCTCCCCCTCCTGGTCGTGGTCGTGGTCGTCGTCGTGGTCGTCCGCAGTGCCTCGCGGCCTTGCTCGCCACGGACAGCCAGTTGTCTCTCTTCTCCGAGTTCAACTCCTGCACCTTCTTCGCCAGCTTGTCGGTCTCGCCGTTCTCCTCGCAGTGGATGATCTCGTCGACCTTCCACTGCTGCTTGGAGGGGATGCTCGCGAAGCTGCTGTCGTCCTTCGGGAGCTCGATGCCAAGGCTGTCCTGGGCTGCCTCTTTTTCCACACAGTCGATGATGGTATCCAAATCTTCTTTGACCAGCTGGTAGCCCAGGAAGTCGGGTGCACTTTTCGAAAACTTCACAGCCGTCTTCAGAGAAGCGTCGTGGCTATCCCCGTAGATGACGGCCTCCGCAAAGTCACAAAACTTGCGGGCGCTCTCGGGCAGGGTGGCTTGCCACGAGATCTCAACTTGCTTCTGGTCGGGGTAGGCCGCCAGGCACCTGCGCGCCGAGTCGCGGTCATGGAGAGCCTCGCGCAACCTGCGCTTGGCATCTGCCGTGAACGCATGCTTCTCCAGGAAGATGTGCAACAGATAATCCCGAACCTACATCTTCAACATCGCCAGGTCGCCATGCAACTTGTTGATCTTAGT